GGATGCTCTAAATGAGGATGGCGGCCTCAATGGGGCAGGCCAGGCAATGAGCGGAGCACTTTTCCGCCACCGCTGCTTTCTCCTTGGAGCCGCAAGTGCAAGGCAGCTCCGAGGCAGCAACCATCTCCTGTAAGCCCACCGAGGTTCCGGTCTGGGTGCTTAAGGTTAAATAGCACACAGCTGGCCCAGTGGAGGGGATTCTGCTGTTGCTTGTGGCAGTGGCACCAGCGCACCTCACGACCTGCCCCCTTGCGGCCACAAGCAACCAGATGGTGGGAGGGAGTGGACGGGTGGTCGCAAAATAAAACATTCCCCGAAAATAAGTCCTAATGGGTCTTTTGGTCCAAAAAAGAAATATATAAGACCGGGTCTTATTTTCGGGGAAACATGGTATATTGGATTTGGGGGATAGTTAAGAATTTAGTCATATACAGAATTAGAAAAGACTTCTAAAAATGGATTGCAGTGAATACCATGCATGTGTTTTGTAAAACGTAAAAAAATGTTAAAAAAAAATCTTATTGATTTTGTGCCGTTGTACAGATTTGCTAATTTACATTCTGTATTATTTGGATTCTAAAATACAGAATAATTACTTTTCAAAATCAAAAGCATTGCTCAAACAGTATTTGGAAAGAATATCTTAATTTTCTGAAGCAGCAGTAACCTTTATATTAGGATCTCCTTTCTCATTGAAATATTCCAATATCGCCCCATTTTTCCTTTATATTTTCACATCTTAGATTAGGTGGTATAGATTCTTTTCTCTGTGCCGCTGTGTGCTTTTCTGAGCCTCAATCTCAGAAATTACATTACTTTGTTTGAAACTGATTTTGATCAACACTTCAGAATATCCAAAGACATCTGTAATCTTGTTATCACAGGGTGATAAGGCGGAGAGTTTTTTCATTGTAGAATCTGGTGAAGTAAAGATCATGATTAAAACCAAGGTGAGTTCAGTTATTTCTGGTATGATGGTTAAAATTTAGAGTAATTTAATATTTTTAAATATGTCCCATTGAGTTGACAAAGTTCAGGAATCTTTCCTGAAAATAGTCCTTACTGTGTCACATTCCACTTATCTTGGAAGAAAGATGGAGGATGCCTAATGAAGAAACTATGTATCGATCACCAATTATGGAAGCCTAAGATAGGATTTGAGAACAGAGTTGCAGTGGGATGGGAAATTCATCCTATTAAGTGGAAAAATCAAGCTTATTATGTAAAGCCCCTTGGTGAAGTTTTAAATGCACTGTTAACATAGCCTGGAGAAGAGTGTGTGTTAATTTAGTAATGAGTTTTATCCTGCATATGTTGTTCTTTAATTTATTGTAAATCCATTTATACTTTATACAATCTGGTTTCCTTGAACTATTTTGGTACTGTAATTCCTAGACTTTTCTAGCTAGTTATAGTGAGTGACTACATTTATTGTGAATTTTTGGGTAGCATTCCTAACACATCTAATGAGTACTAAGTTTAGAAAGGTCACTTATATTTTTCACTAATAGAATTGCCTTTCCAGATGAATTTTTACTGGTAAATGTTTGGCTTAAGAAGTCCTTAATATATGTATGCACTATTAGGGCTAATTTCTTGGCTTGACAAAAGAAACATCCTATGAACAGGTTACATGTCAAGAAATCAGGACTAGATCATATTAATTTGCTAATTTGGGCACACATTCCTGGATAACTTTATTTGCAGAGAATGTTTCACAATAAAGGGACCCCGAAGAAGTTAATTCATACAAGCTTTAATGCATGGGTCTTCAAACTTGGCCCTTTTATGACTTCAGAATTCCTCAGCCAGCGTTGTTATAAAAGGGCCAGGTTTGAAGACCGCTGCTTTAATGTGACATCTGACAGATATGGAACTGAGAACAGGACAATCTCAAGATTTTGGGGAAGGTGAAATATTTTTGATAACGTTTGTCAGCAAATAACCATGTCTGTGTTTTGAATTTCTGTTGTAGACTGTAACAGTAAAAGATGCAAACCAAGAGGTAGAGATTGCTCGATGTCAAAAAGGACAGTATTTTGGAGAGCTTGCACTTGTTACTAACAAACCAAGAGCAGCCTCCGCCTATGCTGTTGGGGAAGTCAAATGTTTAGGTAAGAACTCTGTTTTCCTTTGTGATAATTACTATTAGAGTTGGATTCGGTTGGTTCTGTCATCCATACTGTTCTGTTTGGATCCACCATTTGTTTAAAATGGCTTCTTCACTTGTAATACAAATCAGTCGCAGTTCCAGGAATCCTTTGAATATATACTGTATATGGTGCTTGATTGGTAGAAAATTGGCATGAAGTTTCAAGAGATCTTTTTTCCCACTATTAGTACCTCATATTTCAGAGCATGTTAGCATTTTATGGATCTCTTGATTAATAAGATACTGTATGGAGTTTCCATTATTACTCAAGTTTCTAGGAATGTTAAAAGGAAGTGAGAAGTTGCAACTACTCCCTTACTGAGCTAAATTTAAAGTAATTAAATAGCCCCAAACTACAGATTTTATAAGTTTGGACTTTGCAGATCTTGTAATAACTATCTACTTCAAAGATAGTGAAGGGAAGCATTTAATATAATATTTCCAAGATTCTTTTGTCAATCCTTGGGAATTCTTACTTCTGGGACTATTTTGTGATCGATCGCTCTAATTTAAAGGTAATAACTGAATTACTGAGTCTGTAATCATGGCAAAATCAGGTGTTTAAAAATTCCCTTTGGTCACATTAAGGCATATGCAAACACAAAAAAGGCAGTTTTTATTCTTGTCCCATCACTTGTAATTCCATTTAATTAAATATCCCCTAAATTTGCATGATTCCCATCCTCTGAGCTTCCAAAAATCCTTAAAAATCTGGCTGTTCTCCTAGGCCTTGAGTTGCTGCGCCCCTATAGGTAGGGTTTTTTTCTGCTTTGTCTGGTCTTGCTCTGTTTTGAATGTCTACAGTTGGTTTTCAGCTTTTTTTTCTTGCTTTTCAATTGTCAGTTGCTCAGAGTTGATTGGAGTTAGGGATATTTAAATAAAATCATTTATTCTCCAACGATTTTTTTCCTGTTTTCCTGGGTAATTTATTTCATTGCTTTTTTTTTTTTTAAGAAGAGCTGGGTTGGCAGCCTCTTTGAAACTAATGTAAAAATTTCTGTTCGCATTTCTCTGTATTTCTGTGCAGTTATGGATGTGCAAGCATTTGAGCGGTTACTCGGGCCCTGCATGGACATTATGAAGAGGAATATAACTCATTATGAAGAGCAGCTGGTGGCATTGTTTGGTTCAAGCATGGACCTGATCAATCCAGGCAATTAGGAGGAGAGTGCATCAATGTCTTCTCAGTTCAAGACGTAGAAAAGTCTCCTATTAGTAACAGCGCAGCACCACACAAATGAAAAAAGGACACTACGGGACAGTGGCTGTTGGTGTCTTCTTGGGCATTTTTTTTAGAAACCTACGCAGGTCTCAGCATAGCTGGAGGGTTCAGGGCTCACTCCAGGCCTCCGCTTTGCTGCTGAAATTTTGTTATTAGACCTAGCCTACTGCTGAGTCTCTTAATCCTCTTTTCACATTGCTTGGTTCAGAATGGCATGTTTCTCCCAACAATTCAAGTGCCTGATACTAAAGAAATGGAGCGGTCTATTTGTTGTTCTTGTTTAAAAAAAAAAAAAGGAAGAACAAACTTTGAAATCAGAGATCTGGATGTTGGGGGCTGTTCCTACACTTGGAAATAGCTACCTTCTTAACATTACCTTCTTGTTGACAGCTTTTTTTTTCCCTCACACGATCAGAATCTGATTTTAATAATGATACATTTGGATTTGAATGTCAAAAAGGAGGGGACATTTGTAGAAACAGTAGGTTAACCAATTCTGGGTTTTTCTTGTTCTTTTCTGGAAATGGGAGTGTGGTTGTTTAAAGCTGAAGGATTCTAAAGGAACCTAGCTGATAAATAACGGGCAGTGAAGTAAAATGCTGAATTAAGCAGAGTTTTAAGGCTCCAGTGAATCTGAATCATAAGCCATGAGATTCAGGGGCCGCAAAGGTTGCGCAGAAGATTTGCTGCTGTTTTCTAAATTGGACTGATTTGTGGCCTGCTGAGAAACAGCAGAAATTTCTTTTAAATTTCTATTTATGGAAATTCTTGGTACTTCTAGATTTTACATGGCATTGCCATTGGCAAAATCTGTTTTAATGCTTTTTTAAAAAAGAAAAAAGGGTTGTTTTTTTTGTAACTTAAGGAATATTTATATACTAATGGGGTCCATTATACTGTAATATTTTACAATATTGTGTAACAATTGGGTATAGACTTTCCAACTACAATACCTATTTGCTAAGTCCTTTTTGAAAATTAACAGCATTTTACTTCAAAAATGATTTTTTAAAAGCTACAATAGAAAATAACCTCATTTCTGGGCAATTAACATTGTATTGGCGGCACTTTTTTGAATGCAGATTCATTTAGCTGCATATCTCTAAAATCTTGTTTGAATCAGCATATACCTGTCAGTTTATATATAACTACTGAAGAGAAGTAACATCTTAAGTTTTACCCAAGTATTAACTGTGTAAGAAATTATCATAAAAATAAGCTAAATGTAGCATCAGAAATTATTAGGGAAGAAAGTATTGATCCTGTATGAAATTACAATTCCATTGTCAGTGTTTCTCAACTTATATGTGTTTTAGGAATAAATTTACATTAATTGTGGGTTTTCAGCTTATAGAACAAATCAAAATTTAGTCATTGTGCCATCAAAATTTGATACATAATTCAGCCATTCTGAATCCCCATTGGCAATACTATAAATCTAATTCATAGGTTGCCTTTTAATCTGGAGCTTGTTTGCCCCCTTTTTACAATTTCTAGTCTGTGTTATTAATTTAAGACTTAAATGTTTTATATGTTGTTGAATCAGGAAATAGCACTTGAAAGTATTTTTTTTTTCTTTTTATAATCATTGCCATTGAAAAAGGTACCGAAGCTCTGGCCATCATATTTTATGTTTCTGGTTTTGTTTTGTTTTTCCAATATATCAATTTAAACTTAGCTACAATTTGAACATCTGAGGAAAAAATGCTTTATTTATGTAAAGATTTTACACCAAAGATTTTTAAATGCATGTTTCTCAATTTGGGCAAATTATTACTTGGTTCTGAATCTCATAAAAGGGATTGGTGAAAAAAGGTAAGTAGTACAGCCTTTATTCTTATATAAGTAGCAAGTCATTTTTTAAAATTTTCTCTTCAGGCTTGGCCAAGGTACAGCTGAACTCAACAAGTGTGTTCTAGAACCACCATTTTGGCTACAAAATCATTCCTTTCCATTTCTTACTCGAGTTCTTTTGTGTCTTTCGCCATGTGATGTAATTTAATAGGTTATACAATTGGGGTATCTCTCCCACCTAGTTAATCTTCAGCAACCACTTGCTGGGGTTGGGGTATTTTGAAGATTCTACATTGGTAAGAAATGATCCAGGAAAGGTGAACTGAGGATATATTCAAAGCCATTTTCAAAACGAAATCAGTAGGATGAATTAATATTAATTATACATGTTCTGCTTTAAACAAAAACCCTATATTATTTTGAAGGCAAACAATTTGAAGGGCTGATTTGCAGAATCCCAAACTGGGTTTATCTTTTCAATTGGTGCAAAATCTTTTTATCTATATATGTGTGTTTGTAGCTGAACAACTGGTTATATGAATCACTTCCTTATGATAGTAGGTTACTGACATTACTGTGAGTGTGAGAATTCTACCTTTAGGTCCAGTTAGAATAGATACTTTTGGCATTGGCTGATTTTAATACAAGTTCAAACTCTTGGTCACATAGATTGATTATCGCATTAAAGAAATTATTTTTTAAAAGAGCCATTGGCCTCTGTCAGAGTAGAAATTTATTTATAATGTCTAACTTAAAATGACTCGTGCAGTATTTGGAATGAAAGCTAGAGCAATCATGTAAACATCTGTTTCTTCCTTTGTGGATTTCCCTTTCATTTTGCAAATCCAGCTGGATGTCAGCAAGATCGGTTATGAATAATTCATCTCCATCCTTGTATCCCTCCTTTAACTTGGCTTCATTAACTTCTCATGTTGCACATCATTTCAAAATGATGTGTAACCTTCTTTCCTAAGGGCAAATCTACTCTTCATTCACATAAGGTAATTGGTGATGTCTAGCTTTAATAAGAGAACTCAGCAGCAAAGTGGCTAACCAGAGTGGTGTCTTCTGAGAGTGTCTTTTTTAACTTACATTTCTTTTTTGAGGTTTCTAGGAGGAGCTTATACTGTCCCTATTCTTGAGATATGTCTGTTGATGTCACAGCACAAATTTTCACGATGTATTAAAATGAAATCTAAAACAAATAGACAAGAAAGCGCAGCTTTGAGGAGGGAGGAAACTTGACGTCCATTTTGTCATCTTTTTTTTTTCTTGAAATGTCTTTGTAAAATTAGTTTGACAAAAAATACAAGTTTTCTGGTCTTTTCCACTCCAGTTATTTTTGTTGTTGTTGTGAATAGTGTGTGTGTGTGTGTGTGTGTGTGTGTGTGTAAGGCGAATGTTTCTGTTTATTCTAAGCACATATTTCCTTTGAGGAGGCCTTTTATGTGGGTTCTCCTTAAGCAGGTCGTAGGGCTGTGCTGGACTTTGATCTTCTGGGGGGGGGGGAAACAGTCCCTAATCTGGCAGGAGCGTGACACATCTTTTCTGAACCGAGCTAAAGCTTAAAACCATGTGGATTGCTGTGGATGTTTTCCAGCTTGGTCCAAAAGGTAATTTTAATTTTGCATAAAGATGCTACCTCAAGGCTCTTAAGAGCTTTAAATGTGTCTTGCCTGTGAGAAGGACACACATTGATTCTGATAAGCTGTTCTGTTGCATTAGGTAGGAGGCATATTTTTTGTCTTTTGGGGGGGGGTGTATTTTAAATTATTTTTACCTCTGCCACATGATTGTTTTCAAAGTGTGAGCAGTTTTGCAGAGAGATCTGTTCTTGCACTGTAGTGTTGCCCAAGATGGGAAGAAAGTATCTTCCACCTAAGACACTGGTCTCATTCTGATCTGAAGTTTGATTTTACTTTCAACTAATAAAAGCTGACATGCTATATCCATCCTTTCTGACTGCAGTTTTGCATGTGTGAGTGTGCTTTCTTTAATCCAACCAATGCAGTCCTTTTACCGTTTTTTTCAAAAGAGCAGTTATTCTGGTTTTGTTAAAAGCAGCAAATACTGAAAAGATAATGCATAGTGCAAGAACTAGGAATAATTCTTTTTCTTAAGAACAGTGTTATTCTGAGATGGAAAAAAATGCTGATTTAAATGCTTTTATCATAGACACTTTTATCAACTAAGAAGCTTGCCATCTACAGGAACTCTCTGCTTTAACCTTCCTAGAGATGGCCACTTTTCCTGGAACAGCCTATCCAGAACTTTTTTTCTCATAGAACGCTCAGAACGGAGTTCTGGCACCTTTTTGGGATGGAACCTTGTAGGGTAGGCAAAGCGGGTTGTATGACATGTGAGTTCTGGCACCTTTTGATTTATTTTTTTAAAACGCTGAACCTATCCCTAAATAGACATACTGCATTTTCAAAAACACCACACGCAAGCAAGACTCTTCAAGAAGGCATTAGGAGCTGCTTGAAGATCTTGCTGCCTGTGGTGTAGGGTTTCCTGCCCGAGCAGGGGGTTGGACTAGATGACCTCCAAGGTCCCTTCCAACTTTACTACTATTACTATTACATCAGTACCTTCTTCTCGTTACATTATTTCATGTTACTCAAGTGACATGTAAAGTGAAATAATAAGCATGACCAAGTCAAGCAGCAGTGGTTCTGCCAGTACCTGGTCAGCTTGGGCTCTTCACTTTTGCATTGCCGTGATATCACAGGAAGCAGGAAATAAAATTTCAGTGAACTGGGAGAAAAAGATAAAAAGGTGAGATTTGTTAATTTAACTTAATCCAAAATAGCTAATTTGGTGTGTTAGTTAAGCCACAAGGTTAGAAACTGGGACACTGTGAGTTCTAGTCTCACTTTAGGAATGGAGCCAGCTGGGTAACCTTCAGCTATTGAGTCCTTTTCAGCCTTAGGAAGAGGCAAACTACTGAAAATTTTGCAAAGAAAAATTGGGGGGCTAATCCAGAGAGTAACTTGAGGGTACCAAACATCCCACCATCTCCAAGAGAAGTGAAGTAGATGCAATTAACAGTGGACACACCACTGAGGATCACTGATTTTCAAACCTTAGTCTTCAATCACATGACATTCTTTCTCACCATGCTAGTGAAGTGGGTCTTTAACGTGCATATTTGTACAAAATGTTGCCACAAAGTCCTCGGTTATATTGCAGGCTCAGCATGCCTTCCAGAGAGGAATTTTTAAAACTATTATTAATCCTATATAAAATTGGAAAGATACAATGGAAATAATTAAATCCAGTACCCTGCTGGGATAGATTGATAATGCAGAGATGTAGCCCTTTGCTCCCTACTAATCTAAAATTTCCTTTTGTCAGAGCAGGCTAAGGGCTTTTGTTGTTGCCGATTCATAAAGTCTGCCAAGCAGTCTTGTTCCATTTCTGTCATCCTTGGAATCTTTTTGATATCGGGGCCCCCTAAAATAAGTTGATTTCAGAGGAAATAGGTGAAGTGCCTGTCAGCTGATTTATTTTCCTGTTTGGAGCTCTGCCTCTGATATTGGAGAAAATTGAGGAATTTGTGGTTCTGGGTGACTGTGCCAGGAACCATACAATTTCACAATGCAGAAAACTGAAAAAGTATTTGGAAGCAGTCTTTGCTCAGAGGAAAGACAATTAGAGTGAAGAGGAGGTAAATAAACATAGCTACATGGAGTAACACCAATGCTACACACAGAGAAGTGCAAGTTCCATTAGAAAGCTGGATCAATTCTTGATTGGTCTTTATGGAATGGTGGCGCAAAGCTTTGTTCTCTCTAGGTCCTCACCACCTGTGCTGCCTACTAAGTATCTTGAGTTGCAGCTCCCATTGGACCAGCCAGAGAAGTCAACATGGGGCTAGTGGTGGGGCAGACCTTGCCTGTCTCCAGCCATCTGGCACTTCCTGAGCCTCAGGCCACCTTCTTCTGCTTGGCTGAGTCACAGACTGAGTTGTAGAATTCCAAGAGGAGCCTTGCAGAGATCCTGGGTCTCTCCAGGGTTATGAAGTGTCCACATTTCTCCAGCCGATGCACTTGGGAATTAGGAATGGCATCCGCCAAAATTTCTGCACCCGAAGAATCAAAAACCTACACAAAAGGAAACAAGGAATTTCTTCCCGTCACAACTGAAATATTTATGTTGAAAAAAAAAAACATCCTGACTTGGGCGTGCCATCTTACATTTACTCTTGGAACAACATTCAGTATACAAGCCTTTAATAGTAACTGATGTTTTACATGGCATCTCTGCCATTCTCAGATATTCAGGTTGGCGTGGATTGTATAGCCAGGTTACATGTGAGTTCTATTAAGATATAAAGAAGGGTCTTTGGTGCTTTCTGAGCTTGGTGGTTTTCTTGCAGACTATTTCATTATCTAAACATCAGTGCTAGCACTATCACTGTTTTTATTTACTGTTAATAGTTCAACCTCTTGACCACTAAGATCCATCAGGATGTTCTCTGTCATTATTTCTATGATTTCATTTCCTTTGTTTGGATATGCTTTATTGATTTTATTGGATTTACTTTTATGATAATGAAATTGATTGATTGATTGATCCATCCATTCAGTTTCTATGCCACACAACTCAACCGACTTTGGGCGGCTTATAAGTTTATGAAAACTTTTATTAAAAAGTGTAAGTGAGGATATAGCAAAGTGGAAGGAAAAATGTCTGTGTCACATTTCTCCCAATTCTGAATTTAAAATAAAGTAGCACTGCCTTTCATCCTGCCTGCAAGTGCTGCTTAACACTTCAGCATAAACCTTTGCTCTGCACGCTGGGCAAAGTCCCCAGGCTGGTAAACATGGCATAACCTTCTTCCTCTAGAAATGTAGGCAAAAAATTCAAGCTGTTCCTTGAACTGCAGAATGTCGCCTTAAGAATAAGAACTGACACTTATTTTCAAGTGAAGTGTTTCCATCAGGAACAACGAAACTCAGCAAATGAAAAACCACAGCAGTACAATTTCCATTGCAGGGATGGTTCTCCTGTCTGATTCTAAAATTACACACACTGTGCCAAAAAACCCCAGATACACATAAATCCCTTACCTTGTCCTCCTTTCCCCAAATGATCTGGGTGGGAGCTTTGATTTTCCTCATGTTCTCATGGAGGCTGTACTTCGATTCAGTGCTGGTGAGGTCCAGAAAACCTTTTTCAATAAAAGGAAGCAGAATTGGTTTGGTTTTTTCCCCTCATTTTTAATGAGCATTGACACCTGTCATGAACTTCCCTTTTTCTGATCTTCAGTTTTTTTATTCTTATATTTAGTGTATGGTGATGTTACATTAGCCAGGAGACTAGAAAGCTAATGCAGAGTAATACAGATAGTCCTCAATGTACAAGTACAATTGATCCTAAAATTTCTCACTTTTGTTAAGTGAATTTTGCCCCATTTTACAACTTTTCTTGCCATAGTTGTTAAGTGAGTCGCTGAGGTCTTAAGTTAGTAACATGGTTGTTAAGTGAATTTGGCTTCCCCTTTGACCTTGCTTGCCAGAAGGCCTCAAAAGATGATCACATGACCTGAGGGCACTGCAACCGTCACAAATATGAGTAATTGCCAAGCATCTGAGTCTTGATCACATGATCACGGGAATGCTACCATGTTTGTAAGCGTGAAAAACGGTCACATAATTTTTTTCAGGGCCATTGTAACTTTGAATGGTCATTAAATGAACTGTTGTAAGTCAAGGACTATCTGTAGTTTGGCTGCCTGCTTACTATCGTAGCTCTGTTTGGTACATGCTTGTTCACTTCCAAAGGTGCACCACAGGAGGGCGAGCTAGCTCTGCACCAGAAAGAAAGACAACGGCTTTCCTGCAACAGCATCTGAGGCACTTTCCCTCCACCGAAGCTGCCTCACAATGGGCATCGCAACTGGGATAGTTCAGTGCTGACAGGATTCTAATTGTCCACATAAAGCAGCGGCTCATCTCGAAATAGTATCTATTTACCTACTTGCATAGAACATGGTTCTGAACTGCTAGGCGGGCAGAAGCTGAGATGAGTGACAGAAGCTCACCCCACTACACAGTGCTAGGACTCAAACCGCTAGATCAAAGATTATCTCCAGCATCATTAATGAGGAGATCTGATTAAGGAACCCTTTAACCCTTTTCTCCCTTACTTGCCTGATGCCAGTCCTGCAGCTTCTCTAATGTGTATCACTCTATGTAGCTGGACAGGGACCTCTGGATTCTCCACCCAATGGGGGTTGAGTTGACTGGGAATTATGGGGTTTATATTCCTAACACCCTTGGAGGACTTGTAAAATAGGAAAGGCTGTCTCCTTGTGATTATGATCCTGAAATGTGTGGCCAGGGGCACTGGCTCAGAATATTAGTGTCTCTTCCATTGTAAGCTGCCCTCTTTTCCTGCCTCATTATTGTAAATAAATGTATAGTAAAATAGACCAACATTTTGCTGATATATCGGTCCTTTTCAGGATTATTTTCTCATTTTAAAAAACAGAAATGGCCATATCTGAAACAAACACAGTGAAAATCCACTGATTGAAGCTATTTTGGCTGTAGCTCCCTGGACGGATTCCCTTGATATTAAATGTATGTTTGCCCCTCTAAAACGGGTCCCCAACCCTGGGGCTGTGGCCCACTACTGGGTCATGAGCTGTTCAAATCGGACCACGGAAGCAGCGGGTGAGCGCACCACATGAGCGCACATCCCCACTTGTGCAAGCAGCGGGTAGGTACATGCACACGAGCTCCACTTGTGCGAGTAGCGAGTGCATGTTCCCACAGCTCCCCCCCAATAAAGCCGCACAGGCATGCTTGCCAGCCATTCATGTGGAACCATCCCCCATCTGCCCGCCCCCCCCCGGCCGGTCTGCAAAGCCAGAAAGTTTGGGGAACTCTGCTCTAAAATATGGATAAGTAGCCCATCCGGGTCCATGCTGTGTCTTGTACATACACAATGCAAAAAACATCTTATGTGGTCTCCGATCCTCAAGGTATGCCTTTAGGAGCTAAAGTTGAAAGGAGAAAAGTATAAATTAAAAGTATAAATATAAGTTGTAGGTGTGAAAAATATAAGTCATTTTTTTCAATGCCATTGCAACTTTAAGTGATCAATAAGCGAATGGTTGTAACTCATTACAGGGCTACCTGTATTGCTGGGGCTGTTCTGTCCTATGTTTTTCTATTATTTGCAAGTACTTTCCCCACTGCAAAATCCCCATGAAATGAGTATGGTACAGTATCTTCCCTGGAGATTGAATTGAAATGTGAAGTGTTAAGGATCTAGAGCAGGGGTGTCAAACTGCCAGCCCGCGGGCTGGATGCATCATAATGAAACCGCGCCCACCTCATTGCCGGCAATGGCAAAAAAGTCGCGATATGTTGCGACACATCACATGACGTTCTGAGATTGACACCCCTGATCTAGAGTAATGTTTGTCAAACATGGCAAACTGAAGGTGAGTGGACTTCACCTCCCAGAATTCTCAGCAATGTCTATGCTGACTCTGAAGTTCTGGGAGTTGGAGTCCACATATCTGGAAATTGTCAAGGTTGACAAACCCTGATCTAGGAGCCTACTTCCAACTATATTGATGCCAAAGAGGTGAAAGGTGTGTGCAACATCACAATGCAAGCACGCTTTCATCCTTGGCTTGTGACATCACATGCAAGTACATAAGGAGTAGAATTTTCATCACAACATCACAATTCATGTTCTCACTTGCCCTCCCTCTGTAGATGCTTTTGACCAGGGTCATTGGTCATTCACACTCATATCCTTAGTCTGCTCAGAACAAAACAAGCCAAGAAAAATTATTTAACTGTATCTGTGAATGTAGCTCCCTTCACTGGAATTCTCATCTTTTGAAAGAAAATTTGAAAGCAAATTCTCTATCAAACTGAATGAGAACTGGTAGAAAAAATATTTTATGATTCCTTTTGTAAGGCAAAAAAATAGATGATAGATAGATAGATAGATAGATAGATAGATAGATAGATAGATAGATAGATAATAGACAATTGATAAAGATAAGTAGATGATAGTAGATACACAGAGATAGATAGATAGATAGATAGATAGATAGATAGATAGATAGATAGATAGATAGATAGATAGATAGATAATAGACGAATTGATAAAGAGGTAGGCGATGATAGAGAGAGAGATTTATTGTTTTTATTACAGCCACAGACCAGAGTTCAAAATAAAACATGCTAAAATGTGAGTAAAGAAACAAAATAGGATAAGAAGGTTACAATTGGTGGCAGTTTCATCTGTGGATATGGTAGTCAAGAGTGTGTCTAATTTTACAGGCAATATAGCAGAATTTGGCTACGTTCAAATTTGAGAACATTAAACATACATAAAAGTGATCAGAATTTCCTGGGTGTTTTACCAGATTAGGAATTATTAAAGTGGGTCCCAGGATCCTCACAGAGGATGCAGCATAACAAAGACATGAGCTGCAATTTCAATTCAGGGGCTGCAAGGGCAGAATTTAACCTAATGGGGAATTTTTTTTTTTTTTGTACCCAAAACTGCTGCAGGGAGAGTGCTGAAGTGTGCTAAAATTAGTGCCCTTTGAATTTGGAGATGGTTATGTGATGTAGATATTTTTCTGGTTTGAAAAAGAATGCTTGATTATGTATTTCATGAAAACTCCCAACAATAATCTGTATATATTAGTCAAAGACAGTTTGGGCAATAGAGTTAAGCCTGTTCATGATAACTAGCCAAAAATGGGCAAAAAGTGGGATCCAGTCGATGATGAAGATGAAAAAGGGGGAAAGGGCCTAGAAAAAAATAACGGTTATTTTTTATGATGCATCCACTGTCATTTTAAATCAATCAGGGCCCTGAAAAAATATTTTTTTAATTTAAAAAAATTAAAAATTTAATTTTGTGCCACCTCACAGAATGATGTCATGAAGAGCTTGGCCCTGAGAAAAATTGGAAACAGCAAATATGAGCTGGAAAGCTTTGTCCTCTAGGATTCTCTACATTATTTGGTGAATTGCTGCCAACTTGAGTAGACAGTATTGATCCAGATGAGCATCTAGCAGCAAAAGAGAAATGGGGCAATTGCCTCCATTCTCCTGAAGGACTGTTTCCTTAAGGCTTCTCAGCACTGTATTGTTTTTATCCCTGTGTTGTGGGAACTATTAATTCTAATATCTGATATCAATATCAGATAATATATGATTCTGATATCAATGTGCTTTTGCCCAGTTAATGTCTGCCCTCAGCCTCAGGAGCTCTCTGGAGGATTTTAAACCATCACTCCTTCAATCTAGTTCACAAGATTATTGCTGTGGTGTAAATGGGAGGCAAGGGTTTTATATAGGCACTTTGAGTTTCTGGAGGAAAGGCAGGATATAAATCTAACTAGGAAACAACCTATAAACAATAATGAATAAGGCCAGAATGTATTTTATTTTTGTGTTTGTCTGTCCATCCCGTTCTCTTTCTTGTATCTCTTAAATTATCAACCTACAGGCAGGTTATGTCCCAGTATCTCTGGGATACCTTTCCTTTAAAAAGAGCAGAGTAAATAGGGAAGGAGGGAGGGAGGGAGGGAGGGAGGAAGGAAGGAAGGAAGGAAGGAAATGAGGGAGGGAGGGAGAGAGGGAGGAAGGAAGGAAGTAAAGGAGGAAGGGAGGAAAGAATGAAGGGAGGAAGGAAGGAAAGAAGGGGGAGGAAAGAAAGAAGGAAGGAAAGAAGGGAGGGAGGGAGGGAGGGACGGGGAAGGGAGGGAGGGAGGAAGGAAGGAAGGAAGGAAGGAAGGAAGGAAGGAAGGAAGGAAGGAAGGAAGGAAGGAAGGAAGGAAGGAAGCCATGCATCTTTTTTTTTATTCTGATATTTGGGAAATATTTATGCTGATCTCCCTTCCATCTTAAATTTCAGTCTTGTGCACTTCCTGACCATCTTGTAAAAGAACTTGCGGAGAAATGGAAGATGTTATTACAAAGGACTGAGAGAGCAGCAATCTAGAAAAATGTCAGATGTTCACCTGCATCTTTAAAAAGTTGGGCTGGGCTAGGCAAAGTTTCATGAAGTTTTCTGTTTGCTCCTTAGTAACTGGAACAAGAGCACTCTTGGCAAGATCCTTCAATAAAACTAGCTTTTTTAACCACAGAAACAGTTCACTTTGTTTTGGAATCTTCAGGCCTAAAATTAGGGTGAGAATATGGAATAAATATATAAAAAATTACTACCATATTCTAGAACAAAACTAGCAAGAATCTTAAAAATATATAAAATATACTAAAAATGTGTTAAAATTAAGTAATTTCTTTTTTTATATAAATATTCTATTAGATTTTTATAAGGATAAAGGGGAAGTGGGGTCAATAAGGGTATAACAAGGGGTGACAAACAAAAAAGGTTAGAGCAGGGGAAGGGATCAGTACAATAGTGGGGTTATCCCCTACATTAAATCAACGCTTCAGCAAGTAAACCTGTCCGGGTATATATATTCAATCATGATAATATAAGATAACAGTACTTGATATAATATTACTAATTATATTACTAATTAATCAGATAACTTTAACACATTAATATATTACTTATTAGTTATAGTTACTTATTGTTAAAATCACAAAAAGAAAAAGGAAAAAGAATTCATAGAAATAAACATAAACATTAAATACAAAATAATTAAGTAATTTCTTTTATCAACATCCTCAGCTGGTAAATAGCAATAGCACTTAGACTTATATACCGCTTCACAATGCTTTACAGAAGGGGTCCCCAACCCCTGGGCCACAGCCCATTACCGGTCCATGAGCTGTTCAAAACTGGGCTGCCTGAAATGGCGGGCAAGTGTGTGCATGCACGCACATCCCCTTGCGTGAGTAATGGAGAGTATGTGCATGTGCGCTCCATTTGTGAGTTGAAGTCCATGCCTCACATTGCCATGGTAGAGAAGCCCTGATCTAATGGGTCAATTGGAGAAAGGACTGAGGCCACAACAGCAAGAACACTCTAGTGCAGTGGTGGCGAACCTATGGCACTAGTGCCAGAGGCGGCACTCGGAACTCTCTCTGTGGGCACACGTGCCATTGTCCCAGCCTTGCCTCCCCCCATGACCCCCTCACCAGCAGCCCCCCCTGGAGGAGAGTCGCCCCCAAGTGTGGCCATGCCGAGCAGCGCAGCCAAGGACATGGCAGCCAGGCAGCATAGACAAGACTCTGCCCTCACGCCCCATCACGCACAGTTGATGCTGCAGGGTGCAGGGTGAGGGTGTGGCCACCATGGTGATCTGTGACGGGCCCTGGAGGCAGTGAGTGGCCCTGGAGGCAGGTGGGGTGGGGGCGGGATGGGGGGTGGAGCAGGGGCAGGGCCAGTTTTTGGGCACTCGGTTTCTAAAAGGTTCGCCATCACTGCTCTAGTGTGTGATGGTTGGGTGGATGCAGAAGAACCAGCAAGTCATGGAATCGGAAGTGATATCTTTTGCAAGGCAAGTTAGTTGAGGATCCCTGTGAAAAGTGTGATTGTGTTGTGTATGTTGACATAGTTAATATATATATTGCCTCTTTAAAGATCAGTTGTTTTTTAATGGGTTTTGTTGGATCTGGAGGTGCATTCCCCCTAGTTCTATGCTGGCTGAAATTTCTACCATAGGCCTGATTGAAACTTTTTGAAAAGGGATTAGAACAAAACCCTAATGGGAGGTTCTAACATTGGTTACAGTTTTGAATTGAAATCTAGCTGCTGTGTTACAAATGGGCTACCCAGAAGTAGCTATGAAGAAATGAAATTTCTGATGAGAGAAGTCATCTCCAAACAGCCCATCCTCATTATATAATCTAGATCAGGCATAGGCAACCTTGGCTCTTTCATGACTCATGGACTTCAACTCCCAGAATTCCTGAGCCAGCATGGCTCAGCTTGGAAACCTCTCCCTTTCCCCTCAGCATGACTGGCTCAGGAATTCTGGGAGTTGAAATCCACGAGTCATAAAAGAGCTAAGGTTGCCTACCCTGATCTAGAGTTTGAGCCAAGCATTCTGGCCTTTTCCTTCAGACTTCTCTCACTTGATGTAGATACTTACCAGCTGGGCAGAGGAGGGCTAAAGAGGAGACATGGGCTGGATAGAGAGCGGCATAAACCCCAGCAACCATGCCTCCCATGGACATGCCAACCAGATGGAAAGGCTTGTGGTTCAGGCCAGCACACTGGACAAACTGAAACAAACATTGGGAACAAAGAGATTGTGGTTGTTCTTTCATGAGATGCTCACCCATCCTAATCCCTTCTTTCTAGAACTAATTACACAATACAACGAACAATAAACTAATTACATGGGCTAAGTTCACACTGCCTGGTAGGGTGAAATATTGCTCACGATTCAGCGATTCATGCAGATTAATGTTTATATGGCTGATGCAGCAGCCTCTAACATGACGAGTAAGAATGTCATCCAGCAGTAAGAACAAGATTGAGTAAAGAGGGAACTTTATGGTAATAAAATACATTTTGTAAAGAAATTTGGTTATGCAGTGTAGGCCTATAGAACAATGTTGATGCTTCCAAAATATGGAAAAGGTATCTCACAGGGATAATGATGAATCAAAAGTAATAATGACAAAATTGAGAACATCTGTTACAGCCCTTTATTAAGATGCTCACAAGATAAGAATAATACTAAATACCTGAAAATTTTCCCTCTACTGGAGAGTGCACAAGACTCTTGGACGTGACAGTTGATGTCCCATTTGTAATTCCAGCCCAAAACATGACAATATTGCACAAATCAATAAGTGTTGGGGGAAACTTTAATCACTATAGGCCTGGGCATATTTTTCTAGGATTGTCATAATAATCACCCAACATCAGACTGAAGCTGTCCTAAATAAACCCCAAGTAATCAGGATTCATTGACATTAGTAAGCGGATAAGGAGCGTGCAATTGCAATGTCTTCCATGTTGGACTTATCTGTGGAGATTTGGATTCAGTTCTTTAACTCTCTGAGGTTCATTAAGTACCCATGGGCAAATCATAGCTAGAGCTAGTTTTCCTTGAACTGTTTTGAGGTTAAAGCTGGACAACCTACATCTGAGAAGGAATTGAATAGGAATGAAAATAATGAAGTACCACGCAATGCACAGCTACTTCACACATCTGTGTGACTTTTGAAGGGATTGATTAGAAAGCATTGGGTTTCTCTTATGTGCATTTTTAGAAAAAAGATTCTTGCTAGATGGCAACATCTAGCCAACTTTGGTTCATCTTGGAAAATTTAAGCAGGGTTCAACCTGACCAACATTAGGAATATCTGATCCAGAGTGAAAAAGTAAAAACAAAAGGATGGAGTCAGTGGCAAAACTCTTTTGTTTCCAAGAAATTAAATGGACAAGCCCATGACTCAAAGGAGATTCTACATTTTTAATTCAAAAGATAGATATTCTATATATTTTTCATTGCACAGTCACTCCTGGAGTTTATATCTAATTTCTCTCACACACACACCACTCACTTTCCCCATTTGCTGCCACTCACCAGCCTTCAAAGAACAATGTATCACATCACTGCTCAAGAAAGGCCCTACCTGGTGTATCCTTTTAGCTTGAGCAACTGCTGTGTAACTTTCTCCAAGCAAGCGAGTGGTTCCCCCGTGACCTGGCAGATCAAGGCAGATCAAGTGGAGGCCCTTAGGAAAGACCTATGGGGAAATGGTTGGGCACGTGAAGCCAAGGAATCAAAACAAAAATAGCTGGCTTTGTTCACTGCCAAAGGCAGGACTAGAGAAGAAATGTGATTCTTTGTCCCAGACCAGATCCAGTTCTCTCCCCCAATATCTACACCCACCCTACCCCATCTTTTCAATTTCTTCCACTGCTCTCAGCTGAAGCATTTGGAAAGCAGTGAGCATGCTCAGACATCCTTGATTTATTTGGGGAGATGATTATCCTCCTTAGATTTCACTCCCTTCTGGCCGCTAGCTGCTCCACCAACAACATGTTATTGATAGCCCAAAGCTCATAAGGTCAACAATTTGCACAGGGTCTGAGTTTCCCAGTCTGCTTTATCATAGTGGCAGATGGCTGGTTCTCAGCTAACCCCAAGAAGATAAAGAAGCAGAAAAATTGGCTAGAGCCTTAGATATAGGCATGAGCCATTCTAGCCAGGAACTCTGGAGATGGTTCTCCTGCTTGGAAGATTACCAGAGTGGGGCAGGTTGTACCTCAGAGACACCCACAGCATTATCTTTGGTCTTCCACCCATCCCACTCTGCTCAATGGCAAGAAGGCTCAGGGGCAGATGGGACACAGGGAGTGATATGAGCACATTTCCTTTAAGAGAAAGAAGGCTTCAGCAAGCACATAGGACGTTTTGTCTATGACTTCTAGTACCCAAGGCCAGACTAGCACCATCCAAGCTAGAATAAAGGGAAGACCTACTTCAATGGTGTTTAACCACATGTCTTTGTTGAGTGAGAATCCATGAAGCATCAGCACAGATGGTTGGGATCCAGGCTTCCCTCGCATGAAGTATCTGAACCGGTAGCCCTCACTATCGAGATTCTTTACCTTCACACCCATGCTGTGATGCTTAGTCCTGAAAGAATGGAGAACAAGTATAGGAGGCGGATGGGGATTTTGTGGAGGAGGCGTATTGTGGAATGACTTCCATTCCAAGCTTGGTTTGTGGTGGGTGGAAGAGGCTATGAAAGCTGTCATACATTACAGGCCACCCAACCAATCAGAAAAAAATAGATGAACTCTTTGCCAATCAGTTAACAAATGTATGTAGGAAGCATACCACAATAGTAATGGGAGACCTCAATTATCCAGATATCAACTGGGAGACAAACTCTGCAGTGAACAGGAAATCAAAAAGATTCCAAACCAACCTCACCAACAACTTTATTACTCAAAAGGTGGAGGAAGGAACTAGACGTAAAGCTATATTGGACTTAATCCTTACAAATAGAGAAGAAGTGATAGAGGGAATTGAAATTGCTGGAACCTTGGGTGAAAGTGACCACGTCATACTGGAATTTAATATAATGCAAACACTACAATAGAAAACAATCCAACCAGTGTCTTAAACTTCAAAAGAGCTGACTTTAACAAACTCAGAGAGAACCTAGGAAATATCCTATAGATGAAAATCCTAAAGGGGAAAACAACCCATGAAGCATGGGAAACCCTGAAAAATGCAATCATAAAAGCCCAGACCACCACAATACCATTGAGAAAGAAAAACAAGAATTTTTAGAAGAAACCAGCATGGCTGCACAAAGATCTCTCTGACAAACTGAAAGACAAAAAGGACAAATACAAAAAATGGAAAGAGGGGCACATAAGGCTGATTATCAGCAGACAGCCAGAACATACAAAGATGAAGTCAGGAAAGCAAAGGCTCAGAATGAACAAAGACTTGCAATAGAAATCAAGGATAATAAAAAAAAGTTTCTTCCAATATAGTAACAACAAGAAAAAAGTCAAGGAAACTGTAGGCCACTAAAGAGAGAAGATGGCAAGGAAATAACAGGCAACATGGAGAAAGCAGAGCCACTTAACTTATACTTTGCATTTCACACAAAAAAAGAACTATAGC